CACGTCAGCTGTTAATCGTGTCTCCATTTGCATCATGGGTGAAAATCTATCTCCACCAAATTTTCGTCAGGTTGCTTTCATGATTGTGCCTTCAATCTCAAGTTGGATTCATACTCACCTTGAGTTTGAGGGGGCTGTTAGATTACAAATTTACCTCTTTAACTACTACCTATGTTTCTTGCATATTACAAATTACCATATGTGAATACACTTGCTATATTACTATCTATAGTTTACTTGTTCATCACTCACCTACCCCTAAACCTTCTCCTACGTATAAAATCTTTACGTAATCTCATATCAATACAATACATATTTCTCTCTAGATATATATACTTCTAACCTACACCATATATCCTCATCATTATTATCATACCATATGGGGAATTAGCATTGACAGAATAGGCGATAGTTTATGTGATTATAATGTAACAGGTTAATCCTTCCTTTAAGTCATTAGCAATAAACACTGGTTAATAATGATTTTTTGCTGACGTCAAAATTTTGAAATTTCAAAGTAGTAAAATTGCATATTCAACAGGGTCAGTGTTTCAAACAAGTGGGGAGGTCCATGAAACTATGAAAAACCTGGAGAAAGTTAGTGCAATTTACCTTGATGTTTCAGTAATTAACACCTAAGAAAAATAATTTATCCCAAGAATATTAATTAGCTGAGAATCACAAAATCCACACAGATGTCAGTGAATTTAGGTTGCTTCTAATTCAAACTGCGTAATTTGCACAAAATCATCATCCTCATCCTTGATCACATTCGAAATTTTGAATGGGGATGGCCATTGCAAAAAAGTTATACTAACACCAAAAACGATTCATTTGTTATAGAGCTAACTTGTCCTAACCGGGCAATCACTACTTAATTGTCTCTCCTATGTACACCTGCATTAAGCACATTAAACTATTTAACAAATAACACTCCAAAAGCTAGAAACTTCCATGTAATTTCTAATCACAACAGATCTGCTATTAATTTGCTTGAAAGTAATGCAATACTCCTTTCAAATCGCTAGCCGATTTACACAAATATTCGTCTGAATCTATTATTACGCGAGCGATACCGTGACCAATAACGCAATTGTGAACCACGATTCCATCTACCGAATTCAATCCTTATATCAGTAGTCTAAATTAGTCCATTTAATGTGTGCCCCTTTAACAAAATTCCATAAACATGTTTGGCTTTTTTTTATAAAAAATAAAATAACAAAAATGACATTATATCAAAAGCGTTAAAAATCCAACTCCTAAAGCGAGTGTTTATGTTCGAGTTCCTGGATTTCTAGAATAAGCTCATTCCAAATAAAATGCCATTTTTTGTTTAATAGAAAATAATTTGTAAGTGAAATTTCACACTTCTTAGGATGATTCTAGAACCATCTAACTGTGCAGAACAAAATCTCAATGTTCACAAAAAGTTTGATAAATTCAAATTCAATGTTGGAAAAGGGGCCTAAAGAAGTGGACTCCAGGGGATAAGCCCAAGCCCAAAATAGAAAGCTCATAAGACCAATAGTTGACTGACTGAACTGTATGGACCAGCCTGTTACCTATTGCCCATTTACAAGGTCTTGCAACCAAGGCCTTGTAAATACACCAAGGCCCTATAATTGGATACTAATATATTAACCAACTCAAAAATACAGGCAACAAATCTCTAGTGATACCTTACTTTATAAATTAATTAAACAACTAAAACAGTGGCGTTTTGGAGACGAAATTGTTTCTTAACTAGCATACTCTCTCTGTTTTTTTTTTTTTTTCAACCACTGTATAGACATAACAGGTCAACTAATTGTGAACAACATCATGCATTGACATGCTAAAAACAAAGAAAATAGACCATTCATTTAATATTGATTTCAACATTTTTTTTTTTTCCGACTAATAAATTTAAAGTTTCAACCTATTTTAGCCGAATTTTTGTAAAGTATTTACAACTCATATATGTGATGTTGTGGCTTAAATTTGGTTATGGGTTACGTTGCTATTTGCTTTGACCAAATGATTGAGTTTTGATCAGATTATTTATTTATTTTTATTTTTGGATTGAGGGTCCTGTTTAGTATTCTCTTGTACCCTGATATTTAAGGACATTTAGAGTTTAGGGTAGAACATTGAGAGATACTCAAAATCGCATAAAAGAGAATTAGAACGAGAGTTAAGGTTTGAAAATTGAAACTTGTAATATCCGGATTTGAAAAATTAAAATTTCAAACTGGAGATGATAAATGGCGGCAAAGTTCAAAATTTTAGAGTTTATTAAACTAGGTAAAAATTTTGAATCGAGGGTCCGAGTTAGGATTAATTTAGGTTCAGACATTGCTAGAGGTGTATTAACTGGCTTAGTACAATTCATGTTGAACGTCTTTAGGGTCTCTACAACATGCTCAGACTTTTTTTGTTAATTTTTAATTCAAAACTCACATCTTCTTTTTTGTGAGATATTTATAATAGATGTAGGTTCTATCGAATCAAATAAATCTTTATATTCTTTATATGTATGTCATATTTACTTTTATATTCGTATTTATAATTAATTATTAAGAACGTTGGGTTTCTCGTAACAATATAATTTACCTTTTCTTTTAGCTCTGTGTGTGCTTAAAATTAATTAAGTCTCTCCAACTGTAGCTCCAAAGACTTAGTACAACACTACTGCTGAGGAGCACACGTTCACATTGTCTTTTTCTTTATGATTTGGTCCTATGAGTTTGGTTGTTGACTTTCGTAATTCGTACATTCGAGAACTGACGGTTTACCTGCTGAAAAACTTATGATGAAAACTATTACATGTGAGATAGCCACACAATATTCTATCAAAATCATATCATTGCATTTATTAGTATGAATGGGATCAATAACATTAATTTTTTGTTTTTATTTATTTTCAATTATATTCCATGCATATTTATACAAATATCAGTCCACTTCATATGGTTTAATTTCACTCTGTATCACCATGAGATAATTCTTATGCTTTGTAGTACCTGTATAATTAGTTTCCCTGGGGCTTTAATTCAAAATTTCTTGACTTGTTAAGAAATATTTTGTTTTTTTAATTTTTGTTTTTTCTTTTTCTATTTTTGTTGTTTTTTTATTTTTTATTTTTCACTTTACCAACCAAATCTCTGTGTCGTTTGACTTTTACAAGCTCTCACTTTTTCACATGCAAGTTTGCTTAAAATAACCACATTTTCACATCACAAGCAATCCAAATTAATCCTATGAGAAGAGAGTTTCAGAAAAAAGCTTGCTTGAGTGGGACCATGGTAAACCAGGCTTTCCAGCTCACAAATTCAACTGCTACGCTGCAGGACCATAGACTTAGGCCTTGTTAGTGTTTTATAAACCAAGGTATACACAAATTTAGATTTAATAATCAAGTATGTATCCTGAATATATGAATACTCCGTATAATTTAAGCCAAAAGATTTTAATTCATGCCCACGACATATAATACTTATTATTATTCATGCCCCCTAATAGCGTATCATGTAAATATATTATAGTTATGACCGAGTCTAAACTAAATGAAATTTTATACATAAAGTTGGTATGATTATAAGAGATTTTAACTGTATTTAAAAAGCGATTATACACTTTCAAATTATGGTCTGAATTTTTAAAAAATTTAATTTTCAACCATATTGTTAAATATAAGTTATTTTTGTAATTTATCATAATTAGTCAAGTTGCACTTTCACCATGAGATCCAAACCAAATAATTAATTGATAAACACAGTAGATGGGGCTCCAAGAAAATAGTAACACATTTTAAATTGAGCAATGGGGACTCGTTCATTACTTTGTTTTTTGTTTGTCGACATAGTTGTGCATAAATTGATAAATTGACTTATAAGGTCGATTCAAACAGTACTGAGTACTGATGGCTCTTTAAATCTGGTTCTTTTGTTTTTTTTGTTTTTTTGTTTTTAAGGCGAGAAAAGGGCATCTAATCCTAATGTGAGCTTGACGTGGAACGTAAGATAAACATTAATACAAAATATCCAAATTAGTTGAAAAAAATATACAATTGTTAAGAGCTTTCACAATCATTTACTTTGTCAATGTATGCAAGATTCCATTAATAATTTGATATACATTTATATATATAGCTTATTGACGTGGTATTACTTATCCCAAATTTCCAACCAAACATTACATTAATAATCCATTAGTTGTTGGGGCCTAAAGAGTTGATTGAAATGTGTATAATTAATAAGAAAGTCTCCTACGTCCTATGGTACATGTTTATGACCATTATTATATAAAAGCACTATACATACATGCATATATATATATATATATGTATATGTATATGTATATATGTGTCCTAAATTTACTGTTCAATTATCAGAATTTAAATACAAAAAATCCTACATATAAAATTTTCACAATTTCAGTTTACAAATTCATGGTCATAGGTTACTAGAAAGTCTTTGTTAATCAATTACCCCCTTTGAATTAATAAAACAAGCTAAAGACTTAAACCTAAAAACCGTGTATTTGGTGAGAATTTAGAAGCGAATTTCGGTCATTTAATTTTAGTCTGCCATGTCATGCCATGTCAGTGCAGTGACATGAATAATAATTTAAAGAAAGTAGTTATGGTACACCTAATGAAATTAATGAACTTTCACCCCATATTTTAAGTTAGTATTACACTAATGAATTATTATTAGGGTGAATTATAAAAAATATTTTTATAATATATTTATACTACGCATCACAATTTTTGTGCGAAAAATATACTTAAAATATTAAATTTGTGCAAATAAGTTCTATGTGCACATTTAAGATACTAGTGTTTTTCTAAATTAGTTGAGCGTAGAATATTTTGAATCGGATATTGTCTCTTGATCTTGTGATGCATCATATTATATAGTGCAACCGAAGGAGCTAGGTTTGGAGCGAGTCTATTAATACAAATATTTACCTTTATCCCAATTATATATTATGTTAGAAATCAATTAAGTGTCACTATGCAACTTCTTCAAGAGTTGAGAACCACCCATTTAAATATCAAACCATCTTTTCCTTAAACAACAACAACAAAGAGAGGACATCACATGAAGCTCACCATCAATGGCCTAAAACATCAAAATGAAAACCAACCCATGTCTCAATCTTGCCCTCTGTGGCTTCTACTCTCTCATCCTCTTCTTCTCCAAACCTTCTCACCAAACCTTAGACACTACTCTTCCACCACTCCCAAACCCTAGACTCTTAAATGCATACATAGCTCTTCAAGCATGGAAACATGTGATCACATCAGACCCCAACAACTTTGTTTCAACCTGGTGTGGATCAGATGTGTGCAACTACAAGGGTGTGTTTTGTGCACCAGCCCCGGATGACCCTCATGTCACTACGGTCGCCGGAATCGACCTAAACCATGCTGGCATCACCGGATTCTTGCCGGAAGAGCTCGGCCTCCTCACTGACCTTGCTCTCTTCCACATAAACTCCAACCGGTTTTTCGGTAAGGTACCGGAAAGCTTTGCCAAGCTTCACCTTCTTTATGAGCTCGATATTAGCAACAACCTCTTCTCCGGTCCCTTCCCTTACGTTGTTCTCTGTCTACCTTCGCTGAAATATCTCGACATCCGATTCAATGAATTCAAAGGCGATGTCCCTTCGGCCCTTTTCGACATGAAACTCGACGCCTTGTTCATCAACAGCAACAAGTTCCGGTCGTCGTTGCCGGAGAATTTCGGGAACTCCCCTGTTTCTGTTGTGGTATTGGCTAACAACGACCTTGGCGGTTGCTTACCCGCGAGTATAGGTAAAATGGCGGGAACACTGAATGAGATCATTCTAATGGGTACCGGGTTGTCGGGGTGTTTGCCGCCGGAGATAGGGTTGTTGAAGGAGGTGACGGTGTTTGACGTGAGCTTTAACGGGCTTGTCGGGACGTTGCCGGAGTCCATGGGGGGAATGAAGAGATTGGAGCAGTTGAATGTGGCGCATAACAAACTTTCCGGCCTGATTCCGGCGAGTATATGCTCGTTGCCGAAGTTGGAGAACTTCACGTACTCGTATAATTACATCTGCAGTGAACCCACAACGTGTCTCAAGTTGCCGGCGAAAGATGATCGGCTGAACTGTATACCAGATAGGCCGTTGCAGAGGTCAGAGGGTGAATGCGCGGCCTTTTATTCACATCCGGTGAATTGTGGTGCCTTTGGTTGTTCAGTACCACCAATGAGTACACCTCCGCCTCCGCCGCCACCACCACCACCGCCGCCTCCGCCACCACCGCCACCGCCAGTGGTTTATCATCATTATCCATCACCACCGCCACCGCCAGTGGTTTATCATCATTATCCATCACCACCGCCGCCTCCTCCACCTCCGCCGCCGCCACCACCACCGCCGCCGCCAGTGGTTGATCATCATTATCCATGATTAGTTAACTTTTTTACTCTTGATATAATTGGGGAAAGGACTGGAATAAGTATCATTAAAAAAATTTGGAAAAAATAAATTTTTTTTTTTTTGGATTTCTTTTCTCTCAATTTCTAAAGAAAGATTGACTACCAATTTGTATTGCACGTGTACATGCTCTCCTGGTAATTTATGTGATGTTGTGAGGTGCTCATTTCTAGTATATGATAATTGTTTCAAAGGTTTCAAAATTCTTTGAAGTTCAAAATTTTTGGAAAATGTGATTCCTTTCAATCTGTTTAGATAAAATAATAATAATAATTTAATACAAAAATGTACCATCAGTTTATTGGTAATGGAAACTGAAATGATCAAATAATTGATAGAAGAATGGTCCTGTCCCATGCTTTAGTAGCCAGTTGTAGCTGTAACCTTTGTTTTTAACGCTTTCAACACATTTGTTCCATGTAATGATACTATAACTCAGTTTAAGTGCATTGTAAATATGACCTTGAAAAGAGACTTTAATACACTTAAATTTATTTTTAATTTAGAACAATTGTGTAAAAAATGAATTTAAGTGTGTTACTACTAAAAAATAAATTGGCTGCGTCACGAATCCAGACGCGTTTTTCAAAACTTAAAAGTAGAACCAAAAAACAGGTGTTAAGTCAGATTCGTGAAACTTTATGCATACCTACAGATCCGTACGGCTGCTGTTAGACCCGTGACAAAGTCCCCAGACATTCCAACTTTACCATGTCGTGTTTGTTTGTCATGAAAGAAAAACGAATGTAAAGAGAAAAGAAACCTTCAAAGAAATGAAGAACTTGGCAATTCTCTGTATGGAAGCTGGCGTTAAAATGATCCATTAAAGGGTTGATTGATCATCTGGGGAGTTAAACCATTTCCTTAGCTAGCTACTAAAAATCCATACTAGCTAAAGCAACCTTGGGGTTCGAGTTGGCGACGCATGAGTACTGATAAAAAATAAAATAAAAATAAATATATATAGTGGAGTCTTATGAGTTGGAAATTTTTTGAAGACAACTGTTCAACTTGTATGGCACTTTTTAAGTTGTTTTTCATAGGAGAAATATGAAGATATAGATGAGATTCGGTGGCTTACATATATTCTATGCAAACACAAATATAAAAATGATTTGCCAATGCAAGAAATATACATCAACCTGTTAGTTCAACAACCAGGGCATATCAAAAACATCTCTCTGGGGGTAATAAAGGTCTCCCAGAATATAAAATAATCTCATGTGATGGACATTTTGCATTCCATTCCGGTACACTGAAAGCTCCTCATGTGGTTCAGATTGAGTTCGAATTTTTACTCTCTTTCTAAGCATTGAGAAACCGATCTCATGTCAAACACAGGACCTTAAGTCTAGCTACTGAAAAATTGAGCAAACACTGCAGTATGTGATCATAGAGAGGTTGGACACAAACAAGAAGTCTATGCAGCATCAAGTTTTTCTAATAATATTGATGTAGTGCACAAGTGATAAATAAGCTCGTGATCATGCGAGCAGCTTATTTAAATTAGATCAGATATAATTCATACAGTTCCTCTAAACTAAAGATGATCAGTTTCTTCTAACTAATCCAAGAAATTGATCCTTTCAGCACAATACAAGGAACATTTCAAGGAACCATAACTCCTAGCTAATGAATATAACAGCATTACAAGTAATTACCGCCGTCTCCATTAGTTGAAGCTCTGAAACACCCACAAAGACGATTCTTCTTCTGCCTTCCACTATTTCTCCTGCCACTGTGAATAAAGTCTCTCAAGATGACGGTTGTTCTACTCCTGGAAAATCTGTATCTCCCTTTGCTCTTCTTTTCATCCTCCAGTTTCAACAGAACATACTGGATTTTCTGAAGTTCCAACTGCAACCGTCCAATCTTTTCAGACCCTTTCCGTGCTTGTTCTGAAACTCTCTTTCTCGGGGTACTCCCAGCCTCCTCTGACTCTGCTGAGGCGTTCACGTCTGAACATGAGGAACTATCTTCAATATTTTTCGTCCACTGACAATTCATATTCACCAGCTGCAAAGCAGAACCCTCAACTTCTTGCAACTGTTCCTTCACTGTTTTGAGATCAAGATCCTTGGCCTTTTTGCTCTTCTTGTTTGTATCAAGTTTCCTTCTCAAATCTTGTGCTGTTGTCAGAAGACTCGTCAATTTCTGAGCATCGGAAGCAAGTCTCTCCAAGATCTTTCTCTTGTTCCCTTCTTGATTTAGATTTAGCTCAGGAACACTCATGGGTACCTGTAACCTGTCATTGTCAATACCCAACTCCTTCTCCACTTGTAACTCTGAAGAGGGATCCTCAGTCTTCTGCTCCACATCTTCAAACTGATGGTACACATTATCACCCTCTGTAGGTTGACATGCCTGCTTTTGTGACGCACTGACTGTGTGATCAAGGCAGCAGTCCTCAGCAGTTTCCCATAACTCGAGCATCTGATCATCTGGCCCACCATTTCCTGTCCTGATTATTCTATGTAGTGAACCTTCCGAAACATGATCAAGTGGAATATCTTTCATCAGAATACCCTTCTTCACTTCAGAAATTTTGGGTGTTGATTTCTGCAACTTTAGATTTTCAGTGAGCTTGTCCCCAAGTTCCCTCTCTTTCTTTTGGCTGTCTATTTCTTGATCCAAGCTGCATTTAGCTTTCAACTCTTCGATCTCTTTCATTGCAGTTTCTAGTTTAATGTTGCAGTTCAAGCTTTTCTGTCGCGCAAGCATTTCCATTTCTTGTGCCACCACCTTTTCAACTGCTTTAATCCTAGTCTGTAACTCCTGCAAATCTGAAATTCCATTTGGGATGACAGAGTTTTGATCTTCGATTTTCGCTTGACAGCTCTTTCCATGGAGATGACCTGCCAAATCCGCAACCTGGAAACACATGCATGGAATAAATGGATTATCATTGAAAGACTTTCAGCAACATGTAAAATATCCAGCTTACCCTTTTAACCAAAAAAAAAAAAAAAACATGTAATATATCCAACTAGCACAGGTATAGGATTTAAAACGATGAACTCAAAACCAAGTGGAAATGCAGTGACTTGGTTTCAATTTTCTGTAGCATGATACACCAAAATGATAACATGAAATTGAAACGAGAGCATTTAACCTCTAAAAGAAATTCTCTTAGCAATTTTAAAATAATTAACTACTCCATAATAAAAATGATATTAACATATAGGATCATTCATAATATTACCAAATAACTACTAGAAATTGTATAAACTTAAAGGCACATTCATAATGCTACCAAAACCAAAACAGAGCATCTCCCTTCACTCAGATTCTGAATGCCTTCTAAAGCAATTTGGTTTTTAAGTAGTACCAAAATCAAGTTCCTAAAGTAAGATATATTTAGTACCAAGATCAAGTAGTCTCTTCAGGCTATGAAGAGACTACTCAGCCAACTCTAGAGTTTAGATTTTGAATATTTCAATGGTGAAAATAATTAATCATGTTTTAAGGGGAAAAAAAAAAAAGCCATTACCTCCGTTTCTTGATTGCCAGCTGCAATAAGATTCACCCGAGACAGAGTGTTTTGCTCAAAAGATGTTATGTCATCTCTAAGAGAAACTATAAGAGGAGCATATGCAAATAACTGGGCCTTCAGTCCTCCAATTTCACTCTCCATGAAGCTAACTCTTTCTTTCATATGCTCAATCTCCACAGTTTTTGAAGCACTTTCTTCTTCAAGACTCTGACACACTCCAGTAAGCTCATGAACCTTATTTTTAAACAGAACTTCACGGACTGCGGAGATCTGAAGATCAAAACAGAATGTTGCAGCCTCAGCTTCCCAGAGTTCAAACTCATTGCATCTCTCTTGCAGCTCTGAATTCAAATTCTCTTCTCTGATTCTGTGTTCTTCAATTTCTTTCAGCAATATATGCACTTCAGACTCCATATTTCCATTCACTTCACGTAGGCATTCAATTTCCTCATTTTGAATTGTATTATCTTCAACTAGTTCGAGAATGTGCATTTCTAGAGTTCCTCTCATATGTTTTGATTCTTCACTCTCTCTCTTCAGTCCCTCAACATTTCTGCACATTTCTGACTGCAACTCCTCTGTAGTTTTAAGCTTCTGCTCTGCTTCTAAAAGTGCTGATTCCTTCTGCCTCAGGAGATCCTTGCCACTTGATTGTTCTTCCATTAATTGATCATTAATATCTCTCACCCCATGAAGCTCCTTATTCAACTTCTCAACTGAATCTTTCAGAAGTAAATTTTCTGTTTCTTTCATTTCCAGCTTCATTCTCAAGTTGCCAACTTCTTTTTCAAATTCACTGCTAACCCGATTAAGATTGTGCAGATCTTCAATAAGCACGTTTAGTTCCATAGCTTTCTCAGTCCCAAAGCTGTTGAAAATCACAGAAAGGTTACCAAGAGCTAACATTTCCACAAGAATAAGATCATTTTCCTCTTCATCCATGCACTTCTCGTGCTTCAGGTCTGAGATCTTTTTTGACAAAGAGTTTTTTTCTTCAAGCTCCTTAGAATATTTCTGCTGTAGTTCCAGATAAGCCCCATGCAAATTTTCCTGCTTCACACGCAGACTCTCCATTTCTGCCTTAAGTATATTCACCTGTTGGTCCCCCTCTCTCACCTCTGATCCCAACTGCCTGTTTATCTCTAGAAGTCCGTACTTCTCATTTTGAACCACCACAAGCTGCTCAGTCCTGATTTTAAACTCCTGATCGAGGATTTTCTTGTCTGCCTCAATTTCCAAGCACTCTAATCTCATCTGCTCAAGAAGAGTCACCAGAACTGAGTTCTCAACCCACAACCGTTGCATATCATCCTCATATTCTGAAAGAGAACATTTCATATCCTCAATATTCCCTAAAATATGATACAAAAATATTCGTTCATTTTCAATCTTATCTTTACACCCATTATCTCCACCAATCTCAAGAGCTCTGAACACTTGATATATCCCCATCCTCAGCTTTTCAATTTCATCCAATAAGAGTTCTGCTTCCAACTGCTGCTCAAGATTTTCATTCTCCAACTCAGAAATCAGTTTCTCCGTCAATTTGGATGCCTCAACATGTTTCTGACACTCTAACAGTAGATTGTCATTCTTTTCTTCCATATCTTGTATAAATTTTTTCAAGATGAAGATTTCAAACTGAGAATTCACTGTTTTATCTAATTCTTCTTCAAATTCTTTCTTCCTCCACCTACTTTCTTCTTGCAGAAGATGGACATTTTCTTCCAGTCGAGACAATCGGGCCTCACTCAGCACCGTAAAACTTTCCCGCTCTTGTTTCTCCGCACCTAGAGAAACCTTTAGTTCCTCTACTTGAGAGAATGTGGCTTCTTTCTCCTTCTCCAAGCCTAAATATTTTACTTCTAATTCTGTAAATCTTCTTTCCACCTTTTCTAGTCTCTGTTCAACATTTTCCAACAGAACAACCAAGGTGCCTCTTTCAGCATGAAGATTAGATTTCTCATTATCAAGCAACTGACAGAGTTCTTCTAAGTTCTTCGATTTTTCCCTCAAACCTTCGAGTTCAACATTTGCACCTGAGAGGGAATTCTCCAAGATTGTGTTTTTCTCCAAGAGCTTCTGCAGATTCTGAGTGATGCTTTGTAACTGGGACAGAAGCACAGCTTTCTCAGCAACAAGAGCAGATTTTTCTCCGTGGAGGAACTGGCAAGATTCTTGCAATGTCTCAACCTTTTCTCGTGACGCTTCTAACTTACCATTCACTTCCAACAGGGAGCTCCCCAGAGCGGCATTCTTCTCCACAAGTTTCTCCATGTCTGTCAACTTCTTGAAAAGAGCTTCTTTCTCATCTCTATCTTGCTCACATATCTGCCTCAGTTTCAAATTCTCATTTTGCAAGTCTGTTACCGATGACCCAATGCATTCTGGGTTCAAACCTACAGACTCCAGTTGCTCCATTAAAGCTTGATGTCTCTTGTTCAAGACCTCAATTTCCTGTTTCAGATGGAAGACTTCTTGTTGGAGGGTATTACTTTGTCCCATTTGTAATGCAACCTCCTCTTCAAGTCTCTCCTTCATGTCCCTCAAGCTAACGATCTCAGTTTGCAGATTCTTCATTGAACTGGCGGAAGATGAATTCAGTCCATTCAAGCTCTGATTTTCATCCTTGACCCTCCGGATTTCTTCCTCCAAACCATGTTTGCATATCTCCAAGTCCTTCAACATTTGAAGACCATTTTTAAGCTCCAGTGCCAGAGCTCTCTGCTCCTCTTGAGATTGAACATGCAAATTCATTAAAGTTTGGAGAGTGGCTTCAACTTGGACAAAACACAAGTGCTCATCTTGTACACGAATCTGAAGTTTCTCCAATTCCTCATGCTTTTCCAAAAGTGTTTGATCTTTCATTGCAATCTTCTTTGCCAGATTATCCGCCTCTAGCCGCAGAGATCGATTTGATGTCTCCAACAGAACATGCTTTTCTTCCGCACTCTGTAGTTTTGCAGCCCCAATCAGCATCTCACCGTTAAGGCGTTTCACGTCCTCTTGGGCAGAGGAGATTTCACTCTCCAGCTTAGATATTTTTTCCAAGCAACGTTCATATTGGAGAGCTGCAGCTTCTTTCTCTTTGGTTAGTTCAGCAAGAGCTTTTTCCAGTTTCTTAGCTTCAGTTTCAGCTCTTTCAGCTCTCTCATTAAGCATTTGGGTTGTCTCCATGGCAAGTGAAAGTTTGTTCTCGAGAACAGATATCTTCTCCAGACACTGTCTGTACTGAAGAAGACCAGCTTCCTTTTCAGTTTGTAGTCTACAAAGTTCTTTATTTAGATATTGACCTTCAATTTCTGCTTTTATAGCTCGCTCATTTAGGCCTTTTGCATCCTCTTGGGCTTGAGAAATCATGGATTCCAGACTAGATATCGTTTCCAGATATTCCTTGTGTTGAAGAAAACCAGCATCTCTTTCAGCCTCCAATTTAACAAGCATCTCCTTCAATGTTTGAACTTCAGTTTCAGCTTTCCTTGCTTGTTCATTGAGCCCCCTAGAATCTCTCTGTGCACGGTTGAGTTCTTCCTTTAGATCAGATAACTTCTCCAAATTCTGCTGGTGCTGAAGCAGCACAGCTTCCTTTTCAGCTTGTATTCCAGAAAGGGCTTTCTTTAAGTTTTCAATTTCACTTTCAGCTTTACCTGCACGCTCAGTCTCAGAGAAGACCTTGCTCTTGAGGTTTTGATTCTCATTAGATAACTGGGAGACTTCATCTATCAGCCTTTGTTCTTTCTCTTCCGTTTCATGGCTCAGGCCTTTTCTCGTCTCTCCTTCACAAAAGTTTGGATTCTGTGGCCCTAGTTCTTTGGCCCCAAACAACTCGTTTAGCTGTTTCAAACCCTTTTTGCTAATTCCAGAGTCGGATTCTTCTGAATAAGGTAGACTTCTTTGGGAAGAATTTAAGTTGGATGCAGAAAGCCCCAATGCATCCTTATGCAAGTCATCCAGGTTGAGCAATGCACGAACTGGATGTGGCATTTCAGGTGTGTGCGGCTCTGCCTCGTGTATTGAAGATCCTGAAGGCGAATCTTCAGATAGTTCAAAAGGTACTTGGTTGGGAAATGCTTCTGCCATGGTTCGATGGGCCTGGCGGAGCTCCCCTGTAGCGTGATCATACCTTTCAGCTAATGCTCGATAAGCTCGGTAGAACTCCTCCACCAGTTTCATGAGCTCGGGACGTTTCTTATAGTACATTTCTGCCCTTCTTGCAAAGGAATCTGCATCTTCTTCAATAAGCTTGATCATTGCTTTCACTTTGGCATCCATATCTGTTCAAACAAATAATACAAATAGGATCAGTCAATACTGTGGCTCAAAAACACATTCAAACAGAACTTTTATAAAATTTATTAATATCAGAACAGTGAAAGGAGATTGGCGGGTCGAGTGGGGAACTCATTGAAATAATTAATTCTCAAATTTTTCTACACGAACAGTTCACCATTGCTAGTGCGTATTAAAACTAAACACAGCTGGAGCAAATGTTCACAGATCTGCCCTTTATTTTTTTCCCCAAAGTGTAGCTTTTATTAACAAAACTAAACCAAAACAAGAGAGGAAACTCCCTCAGATTACATATTACTAAATCAGTCACATTTCCAAAAGCCAGCAATCAAGAAAAGCAAAAACCACCAGCACACACACATAGAGTGCCTATACAGAAATACTAACCAACAAGGACCCCAGTCCAGCCCCCAAAACTAACAAACAACAAGAAACCACCACAGACCTCTCCTCAAGTAAGAAACCACCACAGACCTCTCCTCAAGTAACCCATTTAACCAAGTTTTACAAACACAAGGAAAGAAGGCCTGAAGCAAAAAGCAGAAGCTTCCCCAGCAGATAGGCAACTGGACTTTCCAAATTAACATCTCCATACCTCACCAATCAAACCAACTGGCGACTTCACATAGATACAACTCAGTCATTTAAGCATTCAAAATTTCAGAAAGTTTAAGAACCCTCGGTCCCCTCATATCCACCACTTCCCCAATAATCAGTCTAACAGTGTGATCAGATCTGCCTCTCCTATCGTGCACAAAGGCGATCTAGTTCCTATATGATCAGGACTTCAGGACAAATGAACAGAAGCATTACTGCTAGCATAAGACCTTTAGAGATTCGATAAAGTAACAACATTAAGAAGGCCAAGGAATTATACTCATACTGTACTAATGGGAAACAGTATGAAAGGAAAATAGCAAAACAGTCAAGGAGTCAAGGACAGTTGATGCAACAAATGGTTTTTTCCCCTCTCACTTACAATGCAGCAATTTAAAGACTTCTAATTCTAATACAGCTTGTTTAACAAAGTTTTCCTAATAACAAACTCAAGTAATCATGTGTAGGTGATGTAAACCGATGTGTAGTTGGACCAAATGAAGAACACATTATAGCTTGAGGAGATATGCTAGAGTAGGGATTGCACTTTTCCCGTCCCACTAGTACGCGGCTTTGAGCCCAGAAAACCCCTACTAGGATGGGTATAACCGTATAGGTGTGTGCTAATAGGAGTAGGGGCGGCCTTGTGCATAGTGGGACAACACAGCCCAACCCCAAAGTGGGACACCATGAAGTGGATTTGAAAAGTAGTTTCATCAAAGGGTTGGTCAGGTTTTGGATAGGGTTGCCCGATCCTGAACCTGCCTCGTTGCAATCCCAATAGGCGATCTGCAAGGATGACAAATTTACCAACCTCGTTGGCCATTTGGGTCTGCGCCCCACCTTGTTAGGACAAATTTTGGGAAGACAGTCGAAACCTGTCCTGATCAGCTAGAAATATATATATAATCAAAATTATTCTAGTTTTAGATTTTCTTATTTTTATGTTTCCAATTACAAAGTTAAGAAATTTATGCATATAATTGGTAAAAATTAATTTATTCTTATATATATTTTAAAGAAATATTATGAATTTGTTTAAAATTGAAATTCTTGCTTTATTAAAATTGTGCATATGGGGACGACCTAACCTATCATGACCTCGAAGTGGGATGGGATGGGTTTGGCATTGGGGCCGCCGCATTTCTGTCCCTATGTTGGAATCATCTCCATTAGGTGTGTATTACCTCTAAGTTAAAGAATCATTACAAACATCATGGACACCTGAGAGATTAGGAGATTCCATGACATTTTGATGCAAAATTAAAAGGAAGATAAAAAGAAGAACGGGCCAGATTTGGAAAATGTGTGATGTCCTGTGTCCTTGTGGAGATATGGCCCTTGATAAAGTTTAGCGGTAGAAAGAATCCATTTAGTTTACCCCAAGTAATGGGCATTTAAGGCATTGTTCAACTGAGTCAAGCTCTCAACATCTTTAGCCAGCTCACTCTCGTTATTCTGGCTAAGATCACATATCTTTAATACTAAAATTCTATTTAGCACTTTTTAAAAAATAAATAAGCCATGTTGTCATGACATGTTTTCCTACATAATTCCAACAAAAAGTAGATGAAAGGATAAATGACCAAAGAGACTTTTTGAAATATTGTTATTTTAAACACACTTATTTTTTTTATTGTCTTGTTATTTAAAATTTTCTTTTTATTTATGTCATTATCCTTATTTGGTACATCTTCGATTACACAAGCAACCAGTAAGCATAAAGTATGCGGATTGTGGTTTGCGACTCGTGCACTTTGAAAACAAGAATTGTCATGCAGAAATAATTTTTAAGATCAGACATGAGGTTGGTTTTTTAAATAATTATAAATCCAATGCTTTGAACTGCAGGGCTTCAAGGGTACAAGAAGCAGGAAACTGTTCTTACACCAAAATCGGAGTTCATTTCTATAAATGTATAAAGCCAAACTGCATAGCATATATCCGCCAACTTCAGATTCTCTTCAGCTGGTAATAGCAATTCATTTATCAAGTTTATCCCCCCAAACACTCAGGTTTTAGCTTTATTCAGCCTCGCAAGGTCGAGGTGAAAAAATTCAGGTGGCTGAAATCTCAACCTCTATATGTCAAGATGAACATCTATGGGAGTTGTCGGGTAACACAGGTCATTTTTGGGGTTGGAGGTATCCCTATTTAACGTTTAGTGTCGCTATGGCCTCTCTCTCTTCCTCAACTTAGATTGGGCATTGTATTTTATGAATTCTAGATTCCAATTTGGAAAAGTTAATCAACCCTTCCATCCACTGAGGCAAGCCTAGTGCAAGAGACTCCCGCAACTACAAGTCTTGGAGAGTCGGATGCATGCAGTCTCACCTCCACATGTAGAAAAGTTGTTTCCCCTATCATCCACTGAGCTAAGTTGCAAAATGAGATGTAACTTTTGAAATGAAAAGGAACATCAGATTTTAAGTTAATGAAGACATGAACGTGGGATAATTATAACAACTGTATTATTATGTATTGTTGATGATTTTATTAAAATAAATTTCATTTTATGATTTCAACTACCTTAATTTCATATTTCTTTTGATCTTTAACTAGTATGCGAAAAAAGAAAAAGAACAGGAAAAATAAGGAAAAAAAATTCATAAATATATCTGAGAAAAAAAAAAAAAAAAAAAAAAAAAAAAAAAAAAAAAAAAAAACTAATAATTCCTAAAACAATATAATAAACAAATTCTAAGGGAAAAAAACAATACCTGTAAGATTTTCTTGAAGCCATTTTGAATTCTTCGGGCTAATGTGGCTGTCCCACCACCAAGAATACATGCGCCTGGAGTCTGAATGTAACAATGTTGCCATGACTCCGGCGAAGAACAAAAACGCAACTGCTTTTGACCTTGCAAAAGACGGGTCCTTATGCCAGTAAGCAAAACCCAGGTAATGGATCCAGGCCAGTATCAAAATTCAATATTTTCCACCACCCAACAAAATTATAAGGGCTTTTCCAGCTCTTTATCTTCACTCCTTGCACCTATCCCCCAAGATCATCAAGAGAACACCAAAGTAAGCAAAAGTTAGACATATCACAGTTAATATCAGCTTCTGGAACTATGATCAGGAGACTAAGAAAAATCAAAATATGATGTTTACGCTACCAGCTCAATTGAATCCAAAGTAAAATAATTGCTGCAAATCCAACTCCTTACTTCAATGGCCTTCAAAGTCCCAAATCACAGAAAAACTGATCCAAAAAACAAAAAGGGAAAGAAAATGTAAATCAGATCTTAAAATCACAAAAATCAGCAACATGATAATTACCGAAAAAAAAAAAATCAGCAACCTGATGAGGAAATGTCAAATTTTTGTGGGTGTTATCAATTTACAAAGAACAACATCTGGTAAAAGCTAGTAACCGTTACACAAATACTTGGCATGCATACCTTGATCTCCCAGAACCCAAAAGAAAGTACAGCATCGAAACTACCTGATCAACAAGACCCATATCAAAGATGAATACAAATTATCAAATGCTGTAACGAGAAGGGGCCATTAGAAAATAAAAGGCCAAATAAATCAAAATTCACTGAGACAGTAAACCAAATACACAAATCAAACAAGCCTATCAAACAAAGGAATACAAAAGCATGAATCTTACGAAAATGGGTCTCTAAAAAAACCGGAAAAAATGGTTCTTCATGAACTATTACGACCAATAACGTACCAAAAGAACGAAATCTGAAATGGTCTCTGATCAGCAGTTGTGATAGCAAAACTTTCAGCTACATCACCGTTCCTTTTCACCCATTTTCTCTCTCTAACTCAGACTCACATTTTCTACCTCTCTCTCTCTCTCTCTCTCTCTCTAGCGAGCTCTCTGCATTTTATTCTGTTACCGTGTCAGAGTGACAAACTGTAAAAGGACACAGAGTGGGCGAAAAAGAAGAGAACTCCGGATTTTATCTACTAATATTTTTAGAAAATTTCAGATTCTACAATGTATATAATACACACACATAATGTATATAGAGAAGGTGTACAAAATTAAACGAAGATTAATGCAATTTACTATGTAATTTACTCCTAAACTGTAATTACGATTTATTTAATGCGTGCTATGAAAACGGATACATTTTTTTCAAAAAATGTAGATGCTAAATGACTAACTTACCCTTGCTTAAGATCTTAAAAATGCTTTTTCTTAGGCTTCAATAGTTGATTGGTTAGTGCAGTATTACCCAATCAGGAAAATCTAAAAATTATTTTATTTTATTTTCCCAATAACCTTGTGCTTGGTGACACATCATAGATAGGTTAGTATCTTAAAATGATGCACTTGTTCTTTTATATATCAGGCTTGATTCATTTTGCATGTCAATGATTCCAAGTACAAATTATGAGCATCATACTAGTTTAATGTTTCTCAAAATCGTGCCCCAATAATGTCAAAGACTTTGTGTAGATACAATGTAGTATTTCCATCCCTTTATCATTTAAGGCTTGCTAGTTAGTGATGTGATTAGGTTATATTCATTTCAATATTGATCATCCAACAAGAATAACAAAATAATACGTTCCAATTCACATCCATGTTAACCCCTGCCATAGAATTTGTGTGAAATGGGATGGGAGATGGTCATCCCATCCCGTTTCGTTCATGTTACAAAAATTACTTAATAAGTTAGATCAAATTTTTTATCAAATGCAATAATTGAATTTTTTGATTATCTTATATTGGTAATAGAATTTTTATTTATTTATTTATATATATATATTTTTAAAGTAATTGACTAAGGTGGGATGAGCATAACAAGGTGAGAGAATTTAAACAGAGATGAGAGGTGGGCTAAATAATTTTGGCCGAGAAGAAAAATGTTACATGGATGGAGATAGAAAGGGCCCCACCCATTATTTTTTATTATTATTATTATTTTTTTTTCACAGGCCCCACCCATTATTGAGTCATCCCATTTCTCTCTCTAAATTGTAGAGTAATCTGTTCTTAGAAATATTGGGTAGTTTGAATTATAAAATAGATTTTTTTACCTCTGTAGTTCACTGAAATTTCTACATAATGAGGGAAGATGTCTTAAATTTAAATTATTTTTCTATACATAAAAAAGAATGATGAACACTAGTCTTTCACCTTCAAATCCGAGAAAAAGTCCATATTAACCATGATTTCTTTAGGTTAGGCAAAGCCTACTCAGACCATGTGGTCTATAATCTTAATAAAATTAAAATGAATTGAGTCGAAACGAATATTATGACTTCTAGAGAAATGTTACGTTGATGTTGGACCTTTCAGTTTTCATCCTAATAGCGGTCATAGAAAATTTTCTGCTACCTTACTACATTTGAAACAACAAATTGATTTAGTCATGACTAAGACAAAATATATATAGTATGAAAACAACAATGCTCTTAAAGCAAGTTGTTGAGAATTGACTTCTTGCCCAACTATAGATTACATATTTTGTCAATAACCAGATATAATCATTAGCACTCACAATGCATTACACTTCAAACGTTTTGATTCAGCATTAATATATATGGTTGGTGCTTGCACTGCATTTATTTAATTTGTTGTGATAAAGTTAAACAATATATAAATAAATTATATCGTGTCACACGTGTAAGTCATCGTAGCCATCCCGCATGGTTACAACTCAACATTTCGGTTCAAATGAAGCCTTAAAAATGATATAGATTTTGGGCTATAATGGTACCCTTTTAAAGGTGGGCCGTGCCCTGTCTGGCCGGTGGCACCGCCCCTCTTGTGTTTCGTGACACCACAAAGAAATTCGTGGCTCAGATGAGAGTCTAGTGTCTACTACCATTACCTTTTTCTTTTACTTTTCTTCACACATTGTAGGTAAATTTGACTTTCTTTAATGAAATTTAATATAATTCAGACCAAACTAATTTTCTCATAAAAACAATAGTTATCCAAGTTCATCAAAACATATGACAATAAAAATATGTTTTTTTTTTTTAAGTTAAAGACAATAAAAATATGGTTGGGCTATGGTTGAAAGCATAGAAAAACAAAATAATTGAACTTCAATGTAGTTATTAAGTACTTTATTTAAACATATATTTCAAATGTTACTAATTGGAGTATGATTTCAAAAAAAAAGCTAAACATGATAGCTTTGGCATTATAGATTAGGGTTAAAAGAAAGTGACTCAAGAAAGTAGCATAATTAGTGTTGCAAAACACCAACCGACACTATTGTTGTTAGATTACTTTCAATTTGGCTATGATGATGTTTATGTGATAAAAGATGATTGAGGCAATCTTAACGATCAAGATTTTGGAAAGATTTATTTTTTTATATTATTTTTTAACCTGATTTTGGAAAGATAAAACTGTGGTTTTTTTTTTTTTTTTTTCAATCCTATATATAGAAGGGCTGTGGTTATCTATGTTAGACCTCATGCATAATATTATGAGTGGTCACACCATCAGTACCATTAAATTTATGATATGCACATGGAGGATGATGTCCTGAAATTTGGACTAAATGATGTAGGGCCCACCAAACACATGGGTGATTAAGTGATGAAAACTCTACATCATACACCTATTGGGTAAATAAATAAATGGTCCATAAAAACTTTGTGGTTCTGTTCAGAAATGTACCAAATTGCAAATGGTAGTTAAATTAATCCACTAAATCTTGACCTCAATTGTTTATATCTACTAGTATGAATGTCTTTTCCAATTAACCTTTTTTTTTAAGGCATACCTTTATTTCTACGCAAGCATACATATATTTGCTTCCAATTTATTTCTTTTTTTGCCTTTCAACTTCACCAAGTCTTTGCCTAAGATTTTAGATAACCTCTCTCATTTTATCTTTAGTTATTTGGGAGGTGTGACATGTGTTCTTGTCAAATGTCTACGAGAGAGAGAGAGAGAGAGAGAGAGAGAGAAGAAGACATTTTAGAGACCATTCAGTCCTTCCCTCTATAATATGAAGACGATACAAAGGAAACCATTTTCTTCTTTATTAGTTGTAACACAAAATGAAAAATAAGAATACAGAAAAAGAAAATAAAAATATGAATAAAGTAATTTTTAAGCTTTGTGTCCTTTTTAATTTTCACTTTTTCCCTTTCTCACTGAATTCATCAACCAAATAAATCCTAAAAGAATCAATATTTTAGCCATCCTTTATAAGCAACATTCATATTTTATTATTATTATTTTTCTCTATCAAAAAATACGATTTGTCCTTGTAGAGATTTAAAATCACTTTTTACGATAAGTTAAGAAGAATGGATACTTCTCTTAAGGAAGAGGCTGTGGTGATATTAATTATTATTATTTTTTTATATTTTACAATACATTTTGTTCAAGCAGGACCCATTAAGTGTGCTTTCCACTCCCAAAGCAAACCATATGTGAAGTTTCCCAATATATGGTTGCAGAGCCTTCGAGTGGTTGGGACACGGAGATACATAGCACAAAAGTTATAGAGTTGGTACCAAAAATGACAATATCATTGTCCTTCTCTTCACTCTTCTTCATTTTGCAATAATAGACCACATGACACTTTGCGACCCCAATAATAACTTCCTTAATAAGGTCACAAAGATTATGCTTTTTTAAGATTTTGGCCTTTTTAGCATCATTTCACCTTTTTCTTTTCTTTAAAGTAGAGAGAAATTATTATATGATCTTGAAATCATTGGTCACGATCAATCTGGCCAACATACAAGATTTTTTTTTTTTTTTTTTTTAATAATACAGATATATTTACTTGCGACTGACCCTAACCAATAATCCGGAACTATATAATAATATCTTTAAAAAAAAGTTACCAATGGAACTTTTTAGCATATTTTATCAATAGCTTATTCCAAACTTTCTTATTTGAAAAATAATATTCATACCCATTTGTTAGGTATACTTTTCAAAATGAAATAATTAAGCTATTTGAATATCATTTTTCTTTATTTTTTTTCACTGTAATAATAGAATGACACATATCTGTTAGACTGAAAGTGAGATTAAGAACACGATTATCCAAAATGAACACAATTATTCAAAATGTGAGAACGATACACGTTGAAAATAACTGTATAATCGAAGTGAAACAACTTTGTTGAAGACTTTAAACTTGAATATACGGTAAAGAATTGTACTGTATTGTGATTCTGAATCATTTTCGAAGCAATAGTGGATGTTACTCACCACCAGAAGTACAATGCTTTGGATGAACTCTAGCTGGACTTCACCGACACATGATGTGAAGTCCCCTTCTCTCTCTATCACTTTCTCTCTCTACAATTATTGGGTGTGAAAAGATATCTACTCCCTCCCAGTCCCATTTAATCACAGTTGAAAAGCCCAACCATCATCAACCTACCAATCACTGTGACCACTTCAACTTGCATATATACAAAATCTAAAAAAAAGCTATGGAGATGCAATGGGCCCTAATGCGAGAGATGAGTTGAATCCAAATGGTGTTTTTGTATTTATTGTGGACTGGGGTCTAGCTGTGGACCCCACGTTCGATTCATTTCTCAAAAGTTGATACACTTGCAATTATTTTTTCTGGGCTTTGTGCAACCAGGTGAAATTAAAAGAACCTCTTAGTCCAAACATCTGTAGTGCTAAAAAAAAGGTTCATGGGTCTTCATTTCCATTCCCATGTGCAAATCTGAATCTATATGTTGTTATATAAGCTCAATTCATAGAAACATGCCAACATTGACTACCATTCACACGTTAGGGTATTTCAAAAGAGTTAGATCTACGCAATTTTTTTTTTTTTTTTACGATGAATCCAAACCGAAATATGAATCATATCTGTTAAATCAAACACAACCCATCACGCAAGAGATAAATGGACCAATGTTTCCACTACCACTTCTTTTTTTTAAGACTTTCTTGAACTTCAGGTTAAAAGTTAAACTTGATTCCATATTTTTAGGAAGAAAAAT